GCTGTTCTGATTTGGTTTTGCCCTCCGCAAGGTTCCTGTGTATTTAAGGACAGTGCCATCCTGTGGCTCCAGGCACTATTGCAAGATCAACACAATCGGAGTGAAAGATCATTTTGTGCCATCTATTATAAAATTTCCCTCACAGCTAATTTTTATCCCACCAGATTTGACAGTAGCTGTATGTGTTATTGAAGATAAATGGACAAAATAGTTGCTGAAGTTGTAACAAGGTGGCCTCCTGCAATACATCTTCTGTTAGATACTTTGTTCCTGTTTGAGAGCATGTTCGGACAAAGATATGGAAAAGACACGTAGGTGACGACAGAATTTCAAATTGGAATCAAGACTTCAACTACATCAAAAGCAAATGGCTTTTTTTCCTGCTGCTTATGTCTACTGTTCATATTTTGGGTGGGGAACTATCTATTTGATGGCAATAGCCACAGAAAAAATAGTTTTCACTGTGACTTAGGGAAAGCTATACTTCTGAAGTGTCAGGTATTCTGGAATTCTGGAATGACTTTTTCCATTTTCTAAATCTGTGGGCCAGCATTCACAGTAGGAAAATTAAGTGAATGTAACATTATTATTATGTGATGACTCAATTACCCCAGAAGCCATTGAACTATTCTTAACAGAATTGCACTTGCTTGCTGCTTATATAGCCGATTTTCTGTGGAAAGCTACACTGATATTTGTAGTTATAAATAAAAAAAATCTGGAGACACCTGGAAATGTCTCTTAAAATTTACTTGTACATTTGGACTGATATATCCAATATAACTTTACATTATGAAAAATAAAGATATTTAAACAATGGAAAGAGTTAGCTTCTTCCATCTAAACACAGCATTTTTGTTCTTAGTACTACAGAAATAGTTAATCAGAGTCTTGATGTATGCTTGTATCTCCTGATGGTCCATCCATCAGCATGCCCAGACACTTAAGGATGATAAGCACCTACAGTCAGCACGTACCCCAGCTAGGGTACTCTCTGTTCTGTTTGGCATTAGACGGACAGAATGACAACCTAAAAATCTACAGTGAAGAAGTTCCTGTTGCTTAATGTCCATTCAAGCAATAACAGAAGTATATGTAATGGTTATTTTAAGAAAGGTAAAAAGCTGATTTGTAGTCAGCAAGTATAAGGATACTTCGGGGGTATTTCTTAAAATACATGGTAGTCTAAAACAGGTGATGCCTTATGCAGGTTTCTACCTTTCTTATTCAAGGATATATTGAAATTTGAAGATTTTGTAACTGAGTGAGCAAAACTTCAAAACCTTCCTTTTTAACTGACTATGGATGTGCATCCGTAACTGTGACTCCTAGTTTCAAATTAGGGAGAATATTGCACATATCTCCAAGGATATACCCCAGTACAGACAAATTCTAAGCCAGAGCCCACTGGATATAGTTTGTGAGTTTGTTTGTTTTGTTAAATAACACTCTGACTGGTACAACAAATATTACTATTTTTAAACAAGTTGGGAATGCCAATTGTTAGATACAGCGATTACAGAAAACAAGTGTCATCTCTACACCACTCCCCAAATAAATCATAGGTGGTAAATATAAAATCAGTTTGCTTCTAGAGAAAAAGAAAAAAACCTTACTTTTGAGCAGCTGGGATGAGTAAGAGAGATTGGTTTCCCCATTGATTTTACTTTCCCTGCAGCCTTCAAAGCAGATTCTGTGCTCTGAAGTGCTGCATATACTTACAGCACTCTATAAATAAATGCTACTATATGCATCTATTTCTGATTAAAATCCTGTGTAAATATATATGGAAATTAGGTGCTGCTCCAAGGCATCCTGACAAGCTGCTAATGCAAGCTCCTGCTGCTGCAAAGGTTATGTACTTCTGATCTCACAGACCTCCTACGATAGTAACAACAAGGGTTAAGGAAATTGGTCTACGGATTAATTAAAAATAAATATATAGAATAGCCAGCTGATTTCTAAAGAGGCTTGCAACAACTAGAACCATATGGAGATTGTGAAGAGATATTAATTTTACAGTGGTCTAGAATGGTATTAGCTACAAGTGATGTTAGCAAATGCAGTTAAGAACAAATTGCCAGCAGTGAGAGTTGTTAGTAGAAAAGCTTCAAGGCAAATAAAAACTCCGGCAGTAGAGAGATTTAAAATTGGATGGAACAAAGCACTAGAAATTATACCGCAGGGAACTACTCTGAAAAAAACCCCCACAACTTCATGTTGTTTTTCTCAGAGTTCCCTAGAGCTAACACTTTGCTAACACTGAGAAACCCACAACTTAAGGAGCATTTCACAGTCCCTCAACTAAGTAGAAAGAACTAACATTTCCATTCTCCAACATATAGCATCTCTGAAACAGCAAAAGATTACTGTGAAATTATTATAACTATGATAAGACACTGAATGCTCTCACATTGTAAAAACAGTCCACTTTCCACCTAGGTTGTTACACCACCACTGCTTACCTGCTCCCATTACATTTCTGAATCTGACTGCATATACCCAAATATAACCATTTGTTTGCCCGGGTCATACTTAATTTTGCATTTATTTTTTCTAGCCTGGAGTTGTGCGAGCAACCTCTCTAAAGCACGCTCACTTATTTAACATAGTGCCTACTCTTTTGCGTGCCATCCGCCACGTGTCGAATGCTCCATGCTATCCTCATTCAATCAGGCTCGTGTCAAAACTGGAAGTCAGTTACTCAGATTCACTGTAGGGTAAATATCTGCAACTACCTTTTCTAATCTATCCGCACTTTGAAGACCTATTTAATTGCAGCCAGGGTGAAAATACCCCAAAGTCTGACCACCCATGGTGGTGGTTACAAAGCTTGTTTTCCTTACTAATAAAAATGAATGCATGATGAGTTGCCTTGTCTTCTCCCATTCCTTTTAAAATCCAACAGACTTTAAATTCCTATTAATTCACTTAACAGAAACTGAAGGCATTCAACCTTAACCCCACAAAAAAATGCACCAGTTCTGACTGAACAAGTCATTCTGATGGCAATGGAATTGTGCTCTCCATGATAGACATGAACCCAGCTGTGCGTTCCGGGAAAACGTACAGAGCAGGATCATGTATCTAGCCCACAGCAGCCTCCATATCTCCTTGCCATCTAGTCCCATAGCTGCAATATGAGCTTTTTCTGAATCGGCAGTTAAGGGATCTTTTTTTATTGCCTTCTTTATTCCTGAAAAAATGCTTTATTTAGCTAATACAGAAACAGAGACAGCAACACTATCAGTTTTAAAAGAAAATAGTAAAACCTGTTTTGTTGGGGGGGAAAAAAGAGTTGGAGTGGGCACTTATCTTCAAACGCATGCAGCATTTGCGATGTGGGCATGCAATTTCACTGAAAGCACATCACTCTTTAAACCAAGTAACTTACTCTCTTACTTGGCATTTGCTAATACTGAATTGCACTGTAACATCATGCAGTATCAGGAAACACTTCTGCAGTTCTTTCTTTTTTCCTACATTAAATAATTTGGTATT